TTTTATTCCATATATGGTATCATTTGACTTTTTACAGTACAATGGAAAATCACGGATTTGAAAGCGACACACCATCGACGCCAAAAAATCCAGAATCTGATGAAGATATAAGTGAAATAAACCCATCAGAAGGAATTAAAGCTAGCACAGGTGTGAGATCAATAACGCAACGTAAAAGTAATGTGAGCAAAATAGATAAACCAGAAGGTATTCAAGCAAGTAAATGCGATAAAACCAAAGCGGCAGGTAGTGTAGAACGTGAAAGAGATGCAAGTTATACAATTAAAACTAAAGAAAATGAAGTTAACAAATATATCATCCCGGAAGTGATTATTGACAGGGAACCAAAAATCGATGTTGAGGATGAATGTTCCAATAATAAACATCCTGAAACGACATCTAATGAAAGATGCGACAAACATGTTGCTGGACCAAAAGATACTATAACATATAATAAAGATACCATAAATGCTGTGAAAAATACAGATAATGGATATGTTGTCGGCAGTGAATTGAATGAAAAAAATGAAAGTCAATTTTCCAAGGCAGACAAAGAAATGGAATGTGTTACTGACAATACGATAGGTGCTACAGCAACAAATGAAGTGGTGTTGGATCCTAATTATTTTCTTTCAGGTATGTTTTTGTGGTTACCTTATGTTTGGTATGATTTATACGTGCTTGTCATTTTAATCAGTTTTTTACTACTGTTGCTTCTGTTTTGGTGGATAAATTGCCAAATCCATTTAACCTTTTTTCTGTAGAATCAGACATCTTTAAAGAATTCTATAAGAACAGAAATCCAGATGGAAATAAATTTCAAATTACATACTGTTAGTGAAGAATATATATATAAAGTAGCTTTGTAAATTAAATTGTTCTAAAAGCACAGGATTAGATGAAATTCCAGCAAAATTTCTTAAAGATGCTGCACCATTTTTAAAGATACATATTTACCTTTTTAGTGAATAATTCTTTATTACATCTAAATCAGTTCCCAAATGAACTGAAATGTGCTAAAGTTCAAACCATTATTCAAAAAGAATAACAGATCTGATTGTTTCCAACTATGGACCTGTCAGTATTTTATCTATTGTTTCAAAAATCTTTAGAAAGAACTGTATATAATCAGTTAGAAATTTTTTTTAGTTAAGCAGGGACTATTATATGAATTACAAAGTGGTTTTAGATGTAATTATTCTACTGACTCATGCCTAATCCATCTCACTGACCATGTAAAAAGTCAAACTTCAAAAGGACTGCTCACCGGTATGATTATGTTAGATTTACAAAAGGCGTTTTGACCACGGGTGGACCATGACATCTTTTGTAGAAAGTTACAAAAAATGGGATGTGGAGTCAGTAGAATGGTTCAATCTTATTTAACTGGTCGTAGTCAAATTGTAAATGTAAATAATACTATGTCCGGAAGCTATGAAATTTACATGTGGTGTTCCGCTCAGGGAAGTATATTGGGTCCTCTATTGTTTCTATGTTTATGTCAATGATATGAGTATTAGTATTAGCAAAAAATGTAAGCTTATTCTTTATGCAGAAGATGATGTGCAATTTTATATTCACATAAAGATCCAGATGTTATTTGTAATGTTTTGGGTAAGGAACTAGAAAATTGTAGTAAATGGCTTGTTGATAATAAGCTATCATTACATCTTGGTAAAACAGAATGTATTGTTTTTAGTTCTAAGAGGGAAATTGTCAAAACTAGAGCAGGTTAAAATACACTGTGAATAATCACACCATACAATCTCGCCATCAGTAAGTATCTCGGTTTATCTTGGTAATGATGCTCTCTCAGCCACTTCTATTTGTTGATAATATAGTACAAAAAGTAAACTCTCGATTAAAATTTTTGTACACGACAAGGCAAACAGTTTGAATATGGAGCTAAGAAAACTATTATGTAACTCTTATTACAGTGTCACTTCGATTATGCCAGCTCATCTTGGTATAGTGGCCTTACTAAACAACTTTAAACATAAACTTCAAGTAGCACAAAAACAAATTTGTTCGTTTATATTCATGGTTATTCCTCTAGAAAAATCATTGTGGAAAGTTATTGATTTTGCAGTATTGGGTGGCTTAATATAGAAAATAGAGTATGCAGTTAAGACTTAATCATGTACACAAAAATATTTAATAAAAAAGTGTCCATCTTATATGTATGATAACTTTTCTTTAAAGTCTGATGTTCATTGTTATAATAGTAGAAACAGTGTCGGGAACTTTCATATACCCCATGTTAATAGTTTTACAAAAAGTACATTTTTTTACCAGGGTATTAGGGATTGGAAACATGCTCCCACTTGATATTAAAAAGGAAAGTAACTTTTTTAACTTTAAAAAGAAAGTAAAAAGCTGAAACTAAGCAAAAATATGAAACAATTTGAAACAAGCTGATTTTATTTTTTATTAGTTTTAGAGATAATTGTTTTAATCAAATATAGTATGTTTTATATGTATCTTGTGATTGGTTTTGTGATATATATAAATAGATATCTTTCATTGGTGTCTTAACTAGTCATATTCATAGTATTATTCCTGCAAATATGTGATATATGTAATTAACATAATGTGCAATAGAAATTAATATTATTTGATCTTAGAAATTTAACATCAGTCCAGTATATCATCTCTAAGTATGGACCCGAATGCCAGTTCTCAAGAAAATATATTCTTTACCATCAAAGGACCCCATTGGAAATCTATTTTATATTGAACTTTCATGGGTTATCCTGTGTTGTATATATTGTCTTGAAGTCAACAAGATCTTTGATTTAATTATGAATGTAAAGTTATTTTTTTTCAATTAATTACTGTGTTAAAAACAATGTGATAGATATAACTGTGATAAATTTGTCTTAATTTGTTTTGTAATATGACATATATATATACACAAATAAATCAATCAATCAATCAAAAAAAAGTAAGAAATAATTTCGATTTAAATGGTATTAAAATAGATCGTGATATGACCTATAATATTAAGTTACTTAATAAAATAAGGTTATTATAGTACATTGTATCTCAAACCCTAGCAGATGCCCGGTTCCAGAAGCAACCAAGGTTCCTTTAAATGTCTGGTGAAACACCGATAACATATGGGACATTGACCTCTCAAGTCCACGTCCGACAAACTGTTAGTATTTTTGGTTTGAACCTGCTCTACCCTAGGAATGATCTTTTTTGTTTCAAAGAAACTATTCAACCGTAACGCGATACCATGAGAGCAGCAAAGATATCCTATATATCGCTCTTGCACAGTACGGATTTTCTTGATTTGTGCATTTGATAGATGCAATAAATAAGCTGATTTATACATGTGTATATAATGACAATCTGAATAAAAACTACACGGATCATTTATCATTTTCATCGCCCTATAGGCTGTGTCCCTTCATTAGGCTCAGAAGGAAAACGTGGTGGTTTATGACATTGTCAATGACCAGTGGATGACCTCTATTGATTTTGAAGTCATGCGGACAAAGGTTAAGGTCACGGTGATATTATGTACGACCAATACATGCACCCGAAAAAAAGTTAAAAGAGCTAAAAATATATAACTTGGTTGAGAGATTGTTCATGGCAAGTAGATGTAGTTTGCTATACCGAATTATATGAGACAGCGTGAAATACTTAGAAAGAAAAAAGGCGACAATGTTGCTTTATTGAAAAATGCAAAACGAATTCCCAGAAAAGCATTTATTCATTGTATATTTATCTATTATTATAAATACATTTGTAATTTAGTTTGAGTGGTGGAAGATGTAACTCATGATGTTTGATGATAAAACAATTTCTCCTCGAGAGGGCAATGAATTTGACCGAATTTATGTAGGATTTTAAATCACTTTATACACTGTTAAAAGAAATTTGTGAAAATTAGTCATATACCCTTGTCTTTTATTCTTTTATTCTGTAGGTATTTGATTTTTGTTTCATGACGAAAGCAAAGACGCATAGATCAGAGCCTTATTATATTAAAAAGAATGACGGCAAAATAATGCCACCACTTCCCTGCCTGACTACGTCATATTAGTAACAACTCAAAATCCCCATTCACATGCAAACAACTACATACTACTACTCATTTTTCTTCAGGACCATTTCTCGTTGACCAGAATGTTTTTTTTCGCAGATGCAGTCACATTGTTTGTGCGCATTTTTGAAAGAGTGTAAGGTTCTAAGCCAGACTGGACCAGTCTAACCCTAACATAACTGTCCTGCTATTTTAATCTTTCTTATACTTCTTAAATGTGCATGATGCGCAGTCTAGTTGGTTTGATATGTAGTTATGTTTTGTAATCATATGCTCGTACATGTACTTATTTCAGGTGTCCATATTTTTTTTAAATATAATACTTGAACCATATTTGTATTAATTCCTTATTGGACAAATAAATTGTTATTTCAAAGAATAGTATCGGTTATGAAGGTTTCGAAGTAAATGAAATACATGTAATATCAAAATATTTATGTATAATATCTGCCGGGGAAATTGATATATATATTCAGTGAAAGTGTTAAAATGACTTTAAATACGATATACCAAAGAATTTTATTTTTGATATATATTATAAATCAAATGAAATATAGCTCTGTGGTGGGTGCCCAAGGATCACTTCGTCCAAGACTCTAAGAGTCTGCACGGATTTATATTACAAATCCGTGGAATCTGTAAGGGAGTAGATCTACAACCATATTTCTTGGATTCAACCACGGATTAATATATCATAATATTACGTAATAAAAATCTGTGATTTAATAGAGAAATTTCATTATTTCATACAGTACAGTACAGAATAATGAATGGCAATTACTTTTAAACAGAAAAACAAAACTAATGTAGGCTAGCTGGAAAGTTGCATTTAGTGTAGTGCTACCTATCTTATAGCAGAAATATTACATGTGTTTAATGCATGACATATGGCGGGAATCACTCGGATTGAATTTGTGTTTATTGTCGTTAACTAAGGGACGCTACTCTAAAAATAAAGGTCGACTGTTTACATTTATTCACGTTTGCATTATAGATTTGATTTAAAAAATGACTTGCAATATTTTCCGAATTAAAGTAGAGAGCACTTGAGTAACACATTTATCCGCTTTTTAATGAAGATTGTATGTAAGACAACAAACATGTAGATTTGATGCATCTTAGTCATGGAAGAAATTGGACTTGGTAAAAATATTGTTACAAAATTGTTTGTTTTCATAAAATACAAAATTTAGATAACAAGGATTTTTTTATTTGGTATGTGACTATTTATAGGTCTACAGTAACATAGTCTAGTTTAGTTCTGGCTTCCAGAACTTTATATCTTATAACTTTAGTGATACTGTCACAGTATGCCACTTTTTAACATTTTTTTTTATCTGTTGTGGTATATAAGCCCGTCATGAAAAGATTAGCACAACTTAGTTAACCTTGTTTCAAGAATCCCCATTTGTGTGTAAAATGCAGAACCCTGATAAATGCATACATGCCATAATTTTTGGACAGCTTTCCGGGACACTTTTCATCGCGGCAATAATGAATGTGAAGGCAGTTGTGGAAAAGGGGGGGGGGGGGGGGTGTGTGGGTGTCAATCTTCAACGTTATTTAATTAGGACGACTTTCTCCTGAATTTTAATGATAAACACTTAACTAACTAGTTTTTTAAGTAGTCTTTAAGGTCGACATATTTATCATTTTATAGTATTTCTTTATTTCATTTATTATTCCCTAAAAGCAAGTAAATTGTAAGTTATAAACCTGGAGAATGGGCGTAGCCATGTTGTTCACCCGTTATATCTTAAAGTCGTGATGTGTCACCTAATGCAATTCTTCCAGTCATAAAAACAAACACAGCAAGGTGATTTATTTGACACCTTTAATTTTTTATTTGATAGATATATTTTCATTGTTTGTAATAATTAGACTTTCGGCAAGTTAGCGATTGATCTAAAAATTAATGATTATCGGGGATAAACGATAATTGTTAAGGGCCGTAAAACATTAATTAACCCATCCGTTAAACGCTGCCGAAATTCAACAAGAGAATGTTAATTGCTGATGCAATGAAGAAAGCTATTGCCGAGGGGAATTGACAGTCGATAATTTTGGGGCCTGTATATTGTAAAACTTGTAAGAGTCAACGTTCCTGTGTATTATGTGTACCAGGTCAGAATATGTTTTACGATCAAGAGGTGAAATGTGCGAGATTTGATTTAAGAAAATTTTTGAAAATTTTGCAAAATATCATGATTTTTTTTTCCGGGATCAAATTGATGCCTGGGACATCTCCAGGACAGACATCCGATTTCCGGGACAATCCCGGGCATCCGGGATGTTATGGCATGTATGGATAAATGTCTGTTATTGAAGTACATCTGCCCGTGCACAAGAAGTCTTAATGTTAGCTAGGTATGTCATGTTTTGACAACACACTGTCACATGTAATGGAATATTATGATTTGTTTACCTGTTCGTCTTCTCTCAAAACTGTATCAGATTGCCTCTGTTTTAGGTGTGGGTATTATTTTGGGCTCCTCTTAGTTCACGGTACTTAACACTTTGAAACCAGAAAGAAACAACAAATGGAATATAGGGTACAAAAATTGTCATAATCTATAACATATAGGTATTTTCTGCTTAACAACTCAAGGAAACAGCAATATATTCAGTCAAAGTTAATTATAATGGACCAAACGTAGACCATATCTCGGCCATTTTGTAAACAATAGGTCATCATTTAAATCGTGGTAATGGTGTTACATTTCAGTATTTTCATGTTTCAGTTAAAAATTTTATACATGTTTACTTTGCTTGATTTTAAATTTATTAAGAATTATCCTTACTTTGTAACTCAAAATTTATTTTTCCAACTAACAAGAACATTTAGAAAGTGATGATTCTTTCAGCCATACCACATAAATTTAATGGACTGTTAATTGCTTTTTGCAGAAATAGAAAATGTTGTTCTTTTTACGTTAAAATCTAGAGATTTGAAAATATTTGCGCAAAAATGGGGTTCCATAAATATTCAATTCTGTCCCCAATTTTTTAAAAAAATGGTAATAATGAAAATGCCATTTAACATAAAAAGTGAGAACGTGGAAATTAGCCGATGTTGATAGTATCAATGCACTAAAGGAAATGGAGTACTTTGATATGGAACGTTTGTACGAAAAGTTTACTGGTTTTGTGCAGGAACTTGAAATAAGAGGAAAATTCTCTCAATTTTTGATAAATATAAAGTTATTGTTTTTTGGCCACTAGGCACTGAACATATATAGCATAGATATTTTGGCATAGATAATCCAAAAATACGTCATTACTGTAATAGAAACTAGATCAACTTGATGAGTCTGCCAGAGAGATACTTAAAAAATGAATTTGTACTTTCCGGCTGCAATATCACTTTTTCATACATTACTGTTTTTTGGTTATAGTAATTTACAGACATTATCTAAAGTTATATAAAATATAAAATAATAATTATGGGGGTAATCCTACTGCTTTTTTATATTAAAATGACTATAGTTTTTACAAAGATTACATCATATACAGATTTGTGTTTTGTCCATTTGTCTTTCAAAATGTAAGAATTTTGATTTACTGCTTGTTTTTACTTGTTGATTATTTAAAAACTATATTGTGTTAGGGGTGATTTAAGTAAGCCACCCTACACCAACCTTTTATTTGAATAACAATAGATTTATTAAACCACAAACATTGACATGTGCTCTGTTGTTAATAAATAAAATGTGGTGAAATAACGTAATCCATTAATCTGATCATTAGAATAAGACAGGTTAGGCTGCTATGCATTATTTTAATCTGCAGTATTTAAACTTTTGTTCTTATTACTATAATATAAGGGGCAGTACTCCATTGCATATTAGTCAACATTAAAATCAAGATTGACCTCCCTTTAATTTAACAATAAATGCAAAAATTATTTAATTTACAAAAAAAAAAAACAAAAAAAAAACAACAACAAAAAAAACAACAAAACTGCATAATCTTATTTAAAATAATGATGATGTGTGAGTGATATAAGACATATTTAAAAGATATTTAATTGAAATTTTATTGGAAAGACATACAAACTAGATTTTGTGCATAATATGTACCGATAAATATATTGGAATCTCTGATTTATATATGTACATGTTTTCTTTGACAGTTATATTGAACGTTTATAACCAGTTATTAGATAAAGAACTTATCCCCTTCAGCTATAACTGTTTGTCTGGTGAAAACAGTAAAATTTAGACCTTATAACCTTAAACAAGGTTAGCTTGTCACACACGGAGGTGACATTTAATTGTGACAAGTTATTGACTTGTCACGTCTGGTGCACAATTGTAAATTTCCTTCAAAATTTGATTTATTTCTATGGCTTGTACCTGGTACCCACATAGTTATGAGGGAGTTTGATAATTATATTGATTTTCACAGGTGTGCAAAAAGTGAAAATTAGTGCTGTTTAACCTGAAGTTAAGTTTTATCAGTTTTCTCCCTTGACAATTTTATCACTCTAAGGACAGGTTTAAAAAGTCTGTATGCACTTGTAAATAGACTGAGACAAAAAAATCTAGATTTTATCTTATCTTAATTTACAGAACAAATGAAAAAGTCTGCTATTGAAGATATTTTGAAAAAGTTGAGCCAGGTTAAAGGCAAACATGATTGAAGGTTTGTATTTGTGATCTGTTTGCCGCATTTTTGCCACAGTTTTGCCACAGTTTTGCCCACTGTCTCATGCTTGCAATATATAACTTGAACTGTTTTTTCAACTTTTTATACTTAACATAATTAATATTTCTCTCAGTTATATTGGAAACTATTTTTTCCCCTGTTATTTCACTGCGCCTAGATTTAGTAGTAATTATACATGCACACATATAGTCAATCAGTATCCTAGTGGCCAGGTCTCAAAATTGAAGAAATATCAATATATAAATGACTTTGTTTAATTCTAATATATCACAATATGCAAATCATATAAAAACAAACAAACAAAATTTGATGGGCCGCCACCAAAATTAGAATTTTGATTATCTATACATATGTATAATTGATAAAGTGTCATTCACTTAAATGAGCCACTTTTTTCAGATATTTTCTGTATTTTAGTCTTTCTCTTGAGACTTCTATGTCTTCATCTTCAATTTTGAAAAGTAGAAAAATGAAAACACAAAATGCTAGCTGCCTGCACGCTCAACCCCCCCCCCCCCCAACACACACACCAAGTGATATCAAATATATTCATAGCTTGACCATTATATATAAATTAGGGACTCAAGTACTATTCTACTCACCCGGGTGTCGGCGTTGGCATCACACTTTCGACCAAGTTATTATTTCCTATATCTATTGAGATATTGATTTGAAACTTTGAATACTTATAAATGACCACTGTCCACACTTCCAGGTAAGAGGGAATAACTTTTAAATGAATTTTGACTAAATGATGATCCTTTTTAGACTTAAAATATTGGTTGAATTTTTCATTTACCCTTTGACATATTGATTTGAAACTTTAAATACTTCTTAATGACCATCACCCCACTTTCAGGTTCTTATACAAATGTAATAGTTTAAACAGGTAGATTAACTTTTGATTTGAAGTATACTACATGTATATATTAATTTTTTTCCCAAATCCAGTAAAACTGCGCAAAACTAGACTTAGTATACATACATGTGAACTTTTTTTGATAATCAAGTGGGAGATTTTTCTTCAAAAAGAGGGAGATTTTAGAATTTGCAATAAACAAAGAAGAAAGTTTTGACATAAAAGAGAGGGAGATTTCTTTGATTTGTGAAATACCCCTGATTTTAAACAAAAAGCTTTGAAAATATGGCTTCAGAAAGTGAAAGTCTCCTGCTAAAAGTGCGAGAGGTCACATGTATGAGTATAATAGAGGTATGATTCTTGAACGTGGTAAATGTGACATTTTACCGTCATATCACAGGAAACAAACTTTGGTAGATTTATTGATTGTTACTTAATCTTGTTGATCATTTTATTGTGAACAGTAATTCACCATGAAAATAGTAACAGTAAAATGGAGAAAAATGGAATCTCTAAAGAACGCCCAAAATGACAAAATTGTAAATGTTTCAGGCTCAGTTTGATATAGCCTGTTCTTTGAGCCTGATGGTACTAGAATGTGCAAGTTACTTAAATTCCACGCCCCCTAGCACCGAATTAAGAAATATTCAATTTTTAACAGTAATAGTTTGTTAATAATGTACCCTGTGATTAGACAGAAAAAAATCACACTTATTTGGGATAATATCTATTTGAAGAGTAGATAATTAGTCAATAATGAAATAAACCGTATTAAAGGGAGATAAACATTGGAAGCATTATCAAAGGAATATTAATTTATATCCTTAATTCTAGCAATGCTTGAGCAAATATGTAGAAATGCTAAACTTTGTCTTCAAGAGACTACTTTTGCTTTTGGATGAAAAAAAACACTTACACATTACATGGGAGATAATTCATCATGACTAAGAAAAATTACTGTAATATAATTTATAAAGGGAGATAATTTTAGATAAAGTTATTGGAAGATTTATTATTAAACATTGGAGAAAGATACATGTACTAGGAAAAATAAGAAAAGTTAAACAAACAACTCATGATAAGTTAAAAGTTTTTTGTACTGTCTATAACCTCATTTGGTTTGGTTTAAACAATATTTATTACATGCTTTTCGGTGGTTTATAGAAATATATCAGTGATATAAAACTGGTAATTTCACTGTTTGAAACAGTGAAATTACCACTTTGATAATTTCACTGTTTTGAATTTAAGCCCCTTACGTTGTTTCAGTGAAATACCAGCGTGCACAGTACTGGGTACCAACTTAATGACGTGACGTCGTAAATGACGTCACGTTGTATTATTATTTGGCGCGCTTTTCATTCAGTATTAGGTTAAATGTCTTTTTAAAACGCTTCTTTGCATGTAATAAAAAGAAAATTTGTTTAGTTTAGTGTAAGATTGAAATATATTTCACCTTGTGAACACCAAAAGTTCATATTTCACTCGTGGCTGCGCCACTCGTGAAATATTCCTTTTGGTGCTCACTCGGTTAAATATATTCCGATCTTACACTGAACTAAACAAATATCCTCTATTTATTTCTTAACAAAATTACAATGCATAAATTACCACCCAGGATTTAGTAGAAAACTTAAAGCTTATATAAAACTCTCTCCTGACTCTCTCCTAACCTTATTTGACTTGCGACTCTTCTTCAAATATATAGATAACAAAATATGAGAAAAAAAATTAGCACATTATGAATGGGAGGTAAATTAATTAACATATAAATATTTTAGTGATAATTGCTTGCTGCTTTTTTGAAGATTTGAGCTTATATAATATTTGCTTTACATGAAAAGCTTTATTATATTATGGGATATTAGACTTTTATACTGAGTCAATTATTACACAAGATGCAGCTAGGTTTTGTAATGAAGTTTACATATTCAATTTGTCTCTTTTGTAATAAAAATACATTATATAGTACAAAAGTTGTGGGGAAAGCAAACTTTGCCTTTTTTGATAAGATGAGAGTAAGTTTTGTTGTGTAGTATATACCTGTCATTTTTGTATTACTACTAGAAGGTATAAGATAGTTTACCTGGACATTCACTAGGTGCTCCAGCTGTCTACAGTGGTCGGAGTTAGGCAACGGGGAAAACTCTCTCTAGGCTGGCCTCACTTAGTATACTATACTATTATATTAGGGATTGTTACTATTTAAATATTAAATATTTAATTTAATAAGAGACAGTAACATTTGCAGTTGTTTGATAATCAGATTGTAAGATTTGATAAACTGGACTTGAGGATAACACAGAGCAAAGATGAAAGGTACAATTTTATATCAATATTTTTATCATGAAATATTTAATTTTCTATCTTAAACAAAAATTATGTACTCACTGACCTTAAATGTATTGAAGAAAAAATATCTCAAATTGCAATCCTTAACAATTCATTTTGTCACTTAGTACATTTTGTACTTTTGAAGCACTTAGTTCTCTGATTAAAATCCAGATTAATTTTAAGTTTTATAAAATGAAAAAAAAAAAATAGATAGTGAAAAGGTATATTTTACATTTTATGTAAATGAAAACCAATTTTTAAGTTGTAAAATTCTGAATTGTTACCTGATAAAATGTTTTAGATTGTTTAATTTGTGATTTTACTAGAACCTTAAAGTATTTTTATAAGTTTCCTTTTTAATTGAAGATTTATATTAAATTTAACTTTAAGTCAAAATGTATTTTATGTTTATATATTATGTCATTGGTTTGTCATTGATGTAGAAAAAAAGAACATTGTACTTTTTAGAATTTTATACAACATTTTCGATGAAAATAAAAATCAATACTAAAAGTTCATATTAACAAGTACTATAAAGAATTAATTTCTGCTGGAATATACTGTTACTTGTTAAACAATTATTAACTTATATAAAGAAGGTGATTATTGAAGCTGTAATAAATTCATTTATCACTTTTTGTAGTTATTAAAGGTTATAAAGCTATATCTTATGAAATATTTTTATGAAATATATTAACAGTAAAATTATATTGGTTGGATACTTTTATGGTTGATTCTTGAAAGAATTGTATAACTAAGAACGTGTCTGCTATGTAACAAATATGAATATTGTATGCAAATAGTATAAAATGTTCCATAACAAAATATTATTCTGCATTATTTTAAGAAAATGTAAGGGTTTATCCATTTAGCAATGATTTTGAGCATTCACAATTTGATTTAAGGCAATTTAATACCATATTTATCTTATACAAGCATTTTGGAAGTATTCTGTTTTAAAATTCAAACAATGATTTTTGCAGCAGAAATATAGCTTTATTTCCTTTAACATAATGGATTTGCCTATCTTTGAATTTGGAATTCTCTCTTGTAAAGGATTTTAATATCAAAGCACAAAAAATAAGCAACCATGAACATAGACCAATGTGAAACTGCACAGATGTGCTGCAGGCTCGCCAGGTTCAATAACAAGTGGGTGGCAATTAAAGGCCTATCACTTCTAGTCCCTCTGTTTTTAGGGATAATTATTTTCTGTATGGTATCACACATCATTATATCTATCTATAGATGTTATAAACTCAACTACACTTGTCAATTTTTTTGTATTTGATATTTCATGAAATCAGTTCTAAGTTTACAAGATTTTTTTTGCTGAACGTGAGGAACAGTGAAACTATGATCCTACTTATACTTCAAATTACATGTACATGTGCTGTTAAACTTTTACCACTGCAAAATTTCACTTGACTCAACAGGAATCACACAGATCTGCATGATCGTTGTACGTCATTGTATAATAATCCAGTACCAATAACTCTAGCATGGATTTAAATTGAATTGTACCCTTTTCTTGAGCTGTGAAATTCCTGGTTGTTTTGGGTAATGTTTAAATTGTTTGCAAGTTCTAGACTCTATATTTAGATTATAGAGTCCTATAACTTTAGCATGAATTTTATGAAATTATTCCCCTTTGTGAACTTAGAAAAATAACTGCATGGTAGTTGTGTGATCAAACACTGGGGGAAATCTAGCTTGCTCTCAGGCCGTCTGATAGTTACTGATATTTCACTAGCCTTTAGGATTGAGATTTGAACAAGGTACA